TTGATGATCTGTTTAGGTCCCTTCCGACCCTACCAACCATGAAAGTATAGCTGATACAGCATTTCATCAAGCTAGCATCTGTCCACAACCTACAGGTCAGTATCAGAATACTTCCACCCCCAAAGCAGCAATAGGACAAGAGAGCAGAAGCTGAATTGTTCTTTAAATTTTATGTATTGCATCCTACCCCCACCTGTCAGTTTCTCAAAGTTACATTAAACTCAAGAATGTCCACAACATATCAGTAACTTAACACTTCCCTCCCCAGCCATCTTCACAGAAGAGCTTTACTGAACCCCTGCCTGCACCATGCATAAACTCTACATTGTCACAGCTCCTAACCAAACAGCCATCATCATAACCATCTTCTCTGCAACAGATGAGGGAGAGGAGTCCTTATTTCAAGGGCCCCTGACTCCTCCTCTTTCCCAGCATACTTTACCATGAGTGACAGCTCTTTCTTCTTGAGCAGATACCAGAGTAACTCAGTGAGTCTCAAATGGCTCACAGTTCCATTTTTTGCTAGCACCAGGTCCTGAGACTAAAAGCATGAAACTTCCCAAAACCTACCTCCTAGTCCTTGGCTTTGCTCATACTGAAATGCTCTTCACTGAGGGAGAAGAGGAGTTCTTTCCCCCTTTTCCTCAGCTTTCCAGCCTTGGGATTATAACAAAATAAAAATGAGAACAAGTCTTGTGTAGGGTTAAGCACTGACTTATTTTCCTACAGACCCCTTTCTTATTTTGTAGTGACCTCTTTTCTCTTCCACCGACCTCCTCTTAGGTTTAGCATAAATGAAAGTGAATGTTGGCTTTTTGGTTTTGCTTCAAAGTTTGGTTTAGAAAATAAAGGGTGTGGGGACCCATTAGTTAGCTAGCTCCAGGTAGTTTTAGATCATCAGTTAGTGGAGGTTAGTGACATCCACTTCGTGCCCTTTGAGGTTTCCTGTATTGTAAGTGACTGAGGAGGAGGATCTGAGTCTATTAGTAGATGATAGGATCACTGCAAGACACCAATGAGATACAGCTGTGAAAAAGGCAAATGCAATCCTAGGATGTGTTGGTTGATGTATTTCCAGCAGAGATAAGGAAGTATTCATGCCACTATAAAGGACACCAGTGAAGCCTTATATGGAATACTGTGTGCATTTCTGGTCATCTGTCTACAAGAAAGAGGAATTCAAGCTGTAATAGGTGCAAAGAAGAGCCACAAGGATGATTGACCAGGGGAATGAAAAGGCATCTTTTGAGAGGAAACTAGAAGGCCTTGGTGTGCTTATCTTTGCAAAATAAAGGTTGAAGGGTAATCAGCAGGGAGAGAGATCTAGCTAAGCCAGGGGTGTTCACCCCCACCTCAGGCCAAATCTGGCTGGTGGAGCAGTGTCATCCTGCCTGCAGCATTTGCAGATCTGACTGAAGGAGCAGCAGCAGCATTACCGCTCCCCTGATGCCAAATTTCTGGACTCAGGGATCCTGGCAGGCTGGATAGCATGGTCCTGCATGCTAGATTGAGAGCATGGGGTGGGGCAATGCAGGGCTTGCACACAGGGGCTGATTTGAGCATGCAGGGCCAGGGTGATATGGGGCTGGATCAGAGCATGTGAGGCCTGGGTGATATGAAGCCTGATCCAGGCACTTGGGGCTCAATCCAGGCATGCAGGCCCAACCTGCTGCACCACTTATCTGACTTGCAGGCTGGAAGGAGATGAGTGCCACTTAGTTAAGCTCAGTGGTGGCCGAAAGGTTGATCTCTACTGAGTTAAGATAAAGGGCAATGTTAGCACAGGAATAAACTGGCTGTGAATACATTTAAGGCTGGAAATTTCAAAGCAGAGTGGATCCAAAGCAGCTTTCCAATAAGAGTAGTGGAGGCCAAATCCTAACTAAATCAATTTATGAAAGATATGACATGACATGTTTGCTTATGACAGCAAAGAACTGCACTCCATGAGCCAGGATATCACATCTAGTCTTGTGGGAGTACTGCCTGCCTTTGAATATAAAATGTCCCCGAATTTAAGACCCACCCACATTTTCTCCAAAAACAAAACATCAAATTAAGATACATTTACAAGGATATAATCTCTAAGGTGCAAATGAGGTTTATTTTTTTAACTTGAATTAAAAGCAGATCATTTTTACAAGAAATAATGTTTTAAAAAGTGTGTCTTATATTTAAAGGAATACAATGTCACTCCATACTGGACCCGAGCCAGGCAGTTCCTAGAGCACTTGCTGTTTAGCATGCTTGCACAGCTGTTGCACAGCTTGCACAGCTGTTGACTTGATATTTTTGAATGTGCTTCGCCTAGTACTTTAATCTGTAACCTTAGATATCAGCCCTTTGCCTCTGCCTTCATTCCTTTCATTCTGTGCTCTGGCCAATTTCAGAATGTCTCTGGGTACGGCTACAAGGACTGAAAGAAATTTTCTGTGCTGTCAGAAAATAAGCAGGCTTTAGCAATGGTCATGCTCCAAACATTATTGTAGAGGTTTCCTCCCCAAAGTAGATGTCTGCTATCTTTGCATAGAATACAGTGACATCTTGTGGCAAATTCGGTCAAAGTAAAATTTAGCTTTGTCTTGAGCTGTGCTGCTCCAGCTGCCTTTGGTAGTGATAAATTGAAATTTAATCCAGGTGATTTATCCATGCAGTTTTTTTTCAATCTTTGTATGGACATCTTCCCAACTTTGTATTAGATGCAGATTGCCTGAAGCTGTTAGTGAAAACAGACCTTGCACCAGTCCCTGGGCTGTCCTTACTCTACCACTTTTACAGACTCAGTGCAATCTGTACCGCTTCTCACTTCCCTTCTCACTCCCATCTTAACCTGTTTGCTGTTAAGATTGAGTCAGTACATATAATACTCTTAACTCACGTCTGAATGTCATAATCAGTGTTACTCCTATGGACCAAAGGTATTGGTTGTAGCTGTGTTGCACTACTATTGCTTTCAGTGGGATGGAAAGACAGAAGGTTCTTTTATTCCATAGGCCCACATTACTACTGTGAATGTTTTCCTTTTTCCACAGACTGTACCAAGTTGAGGCAGCCTCCCTGACATTTTTGGAAAACCCCCTAGCATGTTACAGTTGACCCTTTGCAGGTGACAGAATGGATTTGGCAAAAGCCTAGATGTAGGGATGAAAGGAAAAACTGCAGAATGTGTATGGAAACCTATACCACAGAGCAAATCTTCTCCATGTGATCGGTACAAACATGCCTGCTGCATCTGCAAAGGATTTGTTTATCTCCATGGAGGGCGGCACAACACTAGTCTTAGCGACTTTTGGCGGTATAGCATTGGTAAGTTTGTCTCTCCACTGTATGTCTGCGTGCAGTCACTGAATCATTGTGAAAGCCAACCCATTCAATAGCAAACTGGCTGTCTTGACAAAGATTTTGTCCTATATCTCCATCCAAGCTGGTATTCTGCTACTCATCACTGGCAGCATTTAATGCTTTGAAAGAAGGTGAAAATCTCCAAAGTACATGTAGCTGTTTGGGCAGTGGTGTATGTTCCAGTTGTAATTTCCCTTGGTTATTTTGAGTCGAAAGTAATGCATTTCTTAATAGTAATATTCTATACTTTACCGCAAAGAAATTTTTAGTGTGAAGCTAAAACAGATGAATAAATATGCATAAGAAAACATTAATACACGTGTAAGATTGTATTCTGATATATTTTGAAATCTCACTTCCACTACAAAAAAATAAAGGCTATTTGTATGCAGTTAATCAAAACTCCAATATTTGTGTTAGCTGCCCAAGAACTAGCATAAATCTCAGAGCTATGCTGGAGTAACTCCTGGGTAGCACCAGGCTTTCATGTATGTTAAAAAAAAAGGAAACAAGTTCATACCAAATCTATCCAAAGAAGTGGTGAATAAAATTTAAGGTTGCTGAATGGAAAAGTACAGATATCTTTGAGGATGAATAAATTGGCTCTTCTAAGTGAACAGAAATAAAATGGAGAATAAATGTGTATTTAGATTGTCTAGACCAGAAAGTCTTTTGTTTTTTTACCCCTCCACACCCAATTGAAAGGAAAAATGTTTGAACCTTAATGTTAATCTTGGATTATTTTGGAAGCATGCATATTTAAAGCATTTCATTCTCAACCTATTCCTAATTTCTGCATGGAATCACATATCAATTTTAGTTCTAACTTTGTTTCCTAGAGAGCAACGAATGGGAAATGCTGCATGGCTCAGGAGATGGCCCAGAAGAACTGGAAGAACATTCAATGGTGGCTTATCAAGTGAGTTTAAATTAGTTCAGATTCTAAAAGACTTTTTTCTTTCTGAGCAGTGGGTATAAACTGTTGTGCAGTGTTGCTATGCATTGTTAAACTGCTGTTTTGTATTATCAGAGACCTCGCTGCATTTCAGGGGCATTTCTACACGTGGTTTGTAAAGTGTTTTTTAATCCTTTGGAAAAATGACTAAATAGATATGAACTGCTGTACTCAGGCCAACTTTGTCACTTGTGGCATCTCCTTCTCTTATTACCATTCAAATAAGAAAAGCAAAGAGCATAGTGACACTTGCTGACTAGTGCCTCCTTCTGAGCTATGTTGTATGCATCCTGAAAAGCTACAAGTGTAGTTCTGAAATGAAGGTAACAGTGGAAAGCCTCATTATTAAAAAAAGCTTCACAAGCAAATCTAACATTAAAGAAAGACATGAGTTAACTCAAAAAAAGGAATTATAGTAGTTTCGCTTGTAAGGGGACA